GGGGGAAATAAGAGTTTTACAGATGTGATTTCAGTTAAGGACCTTGACATGGGGACCTGTGGGGGTGGAGGCAGACCCTAAATACCATGACAGGTATCACTTAGAAGAGAGTGGTGGGGAGTGAGTGGACATATGCACTGACAGCAGAGAAGTGACCGTGGAGGTAGAGAGTGGAAGGAGGCAACCACAAGGCAGAGTGTGGCAGGAGCCACCAGGATGGGGAAAAGGCAAGGAACACATTCTCCCTGAGAATCTCAGGAGGGGGTTTGGCCCTGTTGACACCTTGATTTTGAACTAATTGTCTGATTTCAGACTTCTGGCTCCCAGAACTGCAGGAAAAGAAATTTCTATTGTTTTAAGCCACCAAAATTGTGATCACCTGTTACTGCAGTCCCAGGAAATTAATTTAGGTGCCCCCTTGTCTCACTGCTTATCTTATGATCTGTGGTGTCGGTGATGTTAAGATTTTAAAGGGCCCTTCACCTCTCTGTCCTTACTAGCAGTTCATTCAAGCTGAGCAGAAACTTTTCTTACATTTTTTCTACAGAAAGTTACCCTTGATAAACTGGAGTTTGAGGGAACACAGAAACAAGGATAATATACTTAACTAGTATTTACTCTGTAAGTTTCTGGTATTTTTTTTTAAGATTTTATTTATTTATTTGAGAGAAAAAGAGATGACGAGACAGAGAGAGAGAGAGCGCACAAGCATGAGCATGAGTGGGGAAAGGAAGAAGCGGGCTCCCCCTGAGCAGGGAGCCCAACACCAGCTCCATCCTAGGATCCCAGGATCATGACCTGAGCCCAAGGTAGTTGCTTAACCTACTGAGCCACCCAGGTGCCCCATTCCTGATATGTTTCCATCTTTGTCCTAAGCTCTGGAATAAAAACTGACTAAGACAGGATCTTAGTCTTTGAGGAGTTTGATGAGGGGAGTTAGACACACACACATACAATGACATTAATATGTGGAAAATGCTGTAATGATCACGTGCACAGAGTATTGTGAACACATTGAAGAGTGCATGGACTACAGGATGCGTGCGTATGAGCACACAGGAGAGAGGAGCTAGAAAAAGCTTAATGGCAAAGGCATGCCTCTGAACTGAAGCAGGCCAAAGGGTAAACTTTGATTAATTTTTTTCTCCAAGGGTTTCATATTCTGAAGGACGCTGTCTACCTTAGGCAGTGTTTATTAAGTAATAGATAACAGATCAAAAACATCTCTAACTGCCAAACAGGTTATAATCAGCATAGGGTGGCCAGTACTATTTTCCTATTACTTAAACCAAGAACAAAGGTATTTGTTGTCATCTGATTTTTTTTTTTTTCCCTGTGAAGAATGTAATTTGTTTCTTTCATTATGATTTTTGGGATACTGATCTAGCAACAGGACTCTCCTCATTCTTTTCAAGGACAGGTTTTGCTGTCTTGGTAAAGACAGTAACTCCTTGCACTAACCCATCTGGCCTAGAGAAAATGATATTGAAAAGAACCTCATTAATGAGAGTTCCTGTATAACAGGGAAATAGCTATGCCCCCTGAGGATAGCTTGCAGTATTGTTTCCTCGTAAGGCAACATAACACAGTCAGATCCTGGCCCGCTTTTACAGAACTCCTGCAAGATAATAGGGATCAATGTAATAATCAACATTTGTATAGCATTTTATCATTCTACAAAAGGATTTCACAAAAGTATCTGATTATGGGTTGTTAGCATTGAAAGCAAATCCCGCCATCTGAAGCAAGTTCCTCTCCTTTTTGATTTTTTAAGTCTTTATTGTAATGTTCTTATTCTTCTAGTTAACGTTTTCCAGCTTTATTGAGATATAATGACATATAACACTGTGTAAGCTTAAAGTGTTGATTATGCTCATTTGCTCTTGAGTATGTCGATTTGATATTTATCTGTTGTGACACGATTATCATTGCACTTAGCCAGCTGCTCCATCACCTCACTCAGTTATCCTTTCTTTTTTTGGGGTGAGAACATTTAAGATCTACTCTCTTCAGCACTTACAAGTTTATATTAAAATATTGTTAATTATAATCATTATGCTGTATATTCCATTTCCAGAGCTTATTCATCATATAAGTGGAAGTTCGTAGCCTTTAACCAACATCTGCCCATTTCATCCACCCTCTCTGGTGAGTTTAATCTCTTTCAGTTTTAGTGTCTCTCTCTCTGAAGTAAGGGCACTGACTTTCCCTGGGAGAGCTAGCAAGTGAATTAAGTGAGATTTTAAGTATGAAGTACTAAGCACAGTGGCTGACAAGTAGTAGATATATCAGATATATCATAGTAAGAGCTAGATCCATTCTTTTTGTCTTTTTTTCCCCCTAGAAGTAGCTGAAATTAAAAAAAAAATGTATTTGACTATCAACAAGGTGAAAAGACAATCTATGGAGTAGAAACAAATATTTGCAAACCATCCATCTGAAAAGGGGTTGATATCAAAAATATATAAAGAACTCATACAACTCAATAGCAAAAAATAAAAACACAACCAAAACAAACAAAAAACCTAGGTGATTAAAAAATGGGCAAAGGGCCTGAACAGATCCTTCTCCAAAGAAGATACATAAAAGAACAATAGGTGTATGAAAAGATGTTCAACATCACTTGTCATTAGGGAAATGCGAATTAAAATCACAGCGAAATATCATCTCATACCTATTAGAATGGCCATCAACAAAAGACAGGAAAAGGCATGAATTTGGAGGAAAAGGAATCTTTGTGCACTGTTAGTGGGATTGTAAATTGGTGTAGCAAGAATGGAAGAAGTATAGAGGATCCTCAAAAAAATTAAAGATAGGACAACTATATGATCCAACAATTCCACTTTTGGAAATGAAAATGAAAACAGTAACTGGAAAAGATATCTGTGCCTCCATGTTCATAGCAACATTATTTACACTAGCCAAGAAATGGAAAACAACATATCTGTGCATTGATAGAATATTAGTCAGCCATAAAAATCGAAGAAATACTCCTATTTGTGGCAATGAGGATGGAACTTGAGGACATTATGCTACATGAAGTAAGTCAGACAGAGAAAAACAAATACTGTATGATCTCACTTATTGGTGGAATACAAAACTCCCACAAAAACAAAAACAAAGAAAACAACTCCTAGAAGAAGAGCTCAAACTTGTGGTTACCAGAGACAGAGGATGGGAGGAGGGGTGTATTGGAGGGAGGTGGTTAAAGGTACAAACTTCCACTGATAAGATAAATACTAGAGATATAATACAACTTGATGACCATAGCTAATACTGCTGTATGGTATCTAGGAGTTAAGAAAGAAAATCCTAAGAGTTCTCATCCCCAGAAATTTTTTTTTTTTTCCTTTTTATTGTATCTATATGAGAAGATGGATGTTGGCTGATCCTATTGTGGTAAGCATTTCACAGTACATGTGAATCAAACCGTGATGCTATATGCTATAACTATGATGTGTGTCAATAATTTCTTAATAAAACTGGAAAAAAAAAAGAACTAGGTCAATTAAGTCAAGAAAAAATGTCTTTTGTTTTACTATTTTTTCGTTGCTTCATTCCTCTCAACTTGTGGGAAGAACCAAACCATTTTGCTGGACTCTTTTTAACCTCCCATCTATTGAACTTAGGGCTCTCAGATGGTTACTCAAGGGTGTAATTTGAGGAGTACCAGGGTGTCCCAGAATTTGACTTTCCCCAGGGGTGACTCTCCCTGGGTTCTCTGGGTGGTCTTTTTTGGGTCCTCTAGGCATCACATCAGAAATACAAAGAAAAGGTGTTATTTATAAATAATATACTTCCTAACTCCAATAAGATTTAAAGCAGTTTTCAGGATTTGATCATGCATGAAACAGGAAAGTCTATCAGAGAAATGACAACTACTAGAGAGTGAACTGCATGAAATGTAAACCACACTTGATATGAATTAATTCAAGTTTTGAACGGAGGGTTGCTGTCATTCATCTGTCCATCAAATTAATTGCGGTAAGTACCTTGCTATAGTAAGAGAAGATTTTATGATATTATAGTTTTAATTACACATTATGGCATGTGTTGTAAAATGGATTTTGTTAAAAAAAAAAAAAAGCTTGAAAGCCATGAGATTAGGCTCCTACTGGTTTACCTTTCCTGCCACTTGTTAGTTGTTAAAGTTTGGAAAATTCCTGATTTCATAAACTTTTGTTGAATACTTACTTTGTATCAGACATTCTTCTATATAAATGCCCTCCCCCCCTTTCCTGATACTGATAATTTGCGGTGTAGGATAGGTAGCCTGTGTCCATTCCATACTATTCTCACCTTTCGCCAGGCCTCTGGTACAAGTTCCAGAGGATTCCTATTACTAAACAAATTCTGATACTGGGTAATAAAACGCACATTTCCAAACAGAGTGAATCTGAGCTTCCCTAAAGCCCCCTGAGAATTACGTCAGCTTTAACCATGAAACCGCTGGGCTCCTTTTATTCAGTTTTCTTTAAAGCTCTGCCTGAATGTGGGGTGCGGTGGGGGTGAGGGACTGAGAAAGGGGAGGCAGAGGGAAGCTTTAGGTAAGGGGTTGTGAGGAGGCGCTCCTTGGGGGTGGGATGAGTCGCAGAGGGTGGGCGGGAGAAGGCGGACACTTGTGCACAGAAGGGTATTTCCGGCTCGGATTAACATGCGGAGGCTTTTTGAGTTGAACTTTTTGGGGGAAAACGACCCGTGCCAAAGAACTAGGTGTGCGCGAGTGTACGAGGGTGCGGCGGGCTTCCCCACCTAGGGTATAGGTAGCATTCTCCACGTCTTTGTGGGTCTCTGCGAGCAGCGCCGGCCGGGCTGAGGCTGCACGGGGGCCGCCCCCAGTCCCCAGCCGGACACCCTGAACCGCAGCAGCCACAACAGGGTCGCCCGCAGACAAAGGGTCGGGCGCGGCGGGGCTGGCTCGCGCCCCCGGGCGGCGGGGACCGGGAGCGCGCGCTCCGAGCGCCGGGCCGGGGTCGCCGACGGCGCAGCGCAGACCCCGCGCGGGCCGCAGCCGCGGCGCCCGGAAGACCCGGCTCCGGGACGCAGACCCCGCCCGGGCTGGCTCGGCGCCGGGCTCCGGGCTTCCACTCAGTCTTTGACCCTCGGTCCCCGCCCGCTCCCCCCTCGCAGGCCGCACCACTGTAACCGCTGCCCCTGCCGCCGCCGCTCCTTCTCGGGCCGGCCGGCGGAGAGCGCAGCGCGGCGGGGCCGGCGGCATGGCTGTGTCTTGGAGGAACTGGCTGGCCAACGAAGGGGTTAAACACCTCTGCCTGGTAGGATGGCGGGCAAGGCTCTCCCTGCGTTTTGTCTCTCGTGCAGCAACTTTGATTCATTCTCTGAGCGTGCGCGGGTGGGAAGCTGGAAGAAGTTTTGCCTCTAATTCAAACGTTCTCAACTAACAAAACTTTCCGCTGTTAATACCTGGAGATAATAACACCACCTATCCCCCCACCCCCCAATCCCATCCCGGCTCCAAAGGCATGGGAACTTTCCTGCACACTGATGGGAGAGCGGATGTGGAGGAAGGGAGAAGAGATCACTTTTAGTGAACACAACTTTTTCTTAACCCTTTCAACATCTTCCCCTCCTTTCCTCTTTCCCCAGATTGCTTCTGTTTGGTGTTGCATTTTTAACGACATGCAATTCTCCGGACGAGGTGATGTCACTGATTTCTTAGGCTCATTTTGTACTGCAGGGGATGTCTGCCGATCATTTAGGAGACCTCATTGCAATCCAAATGCTTAATCTCAGGTGCAGGGACTGAGTTAAGATTTGTTTTGCTCTGAGAGGTTTTCAGCTTGCTGGTTAATTGAAAATGCTTTCTGCAATTACTAACCCGGCTTCGCCTGAAAGTATTGTGTCCAACGAATGTCCTTAAGGTTTCCATTCATCAAGTAATGTTTATTTTTAATTTTTGTTTTCTCTTTCTCTGTGATTTAGTTTATCTGGCTCTCCCTGAATGTCTTGCTTTTCTGGAAAACCTTCCTGCTGTATAACCAAGGACCAGAGTATCACTACCTCCACCAGATGTTAGGGGTAAGTGGGACTTGGGTAACCTGGTAGAACGGGTTTAAGGTAGGCGGACACTGCTACCAGGCTTGGTCAGTTCTTCCATTTATTAAAGAAACCCAGGTTGTTCGCTTCAGAAAGGCTTGTCCTTCTCTGAAGTGGTCCCATTTTCTTGATGTATCATTTACACTCATGTAGGTTAAAATGAATGACTCTTTCAAGAACCAAAGATTGTATGTGCTAAAATGCAAGGAATGAACCTGTCAGAACAGGCCGGTAGTGCCTGAGAGAAGTTGGCAGCCTCTTGCCAGCTGCCAAATGCCTTGAAGGATCTGCTTCTCCAGCAGGACCCACCAATGATAGGCTTTTAGTTTTCACTAATCAAGACTCGAGCTGTGCATAAGTTTATCCAGAGGATTTCTGCACTGTTTCCTTTTACTGCCAGTTCTCACAAAGTATGTGTCTGAGGCACCTATTCATTTCTAGCCGTGTCTTAGCTTCTTACCCTAGGTTACTGGTTGGTTATGGTTCCAGTGTTCTGGTCTAATATGAGAATGATATTGTGCAGAACTTTGCTCTGATTTATCTCATGTTGATATTTTTCCTTTTCTCTATTCCATGGCATTTCTGATCTCATTCTTCCCCTTCCCTTCCTACTTGACTCCTTACCAGAAGACAGAGGCAATGAGGACATCTTTATATTAAGAGTTAGCATTTTCTGAGCAACAAGCAAAAAGCATAAAGTGTATTGAAAAATTTTAGAGCATCTGAAAAAAAAATTTGTCATTCCCTTTCATTGGGGAAGAGAACACATTCTAAATAGGAGATGCATTGTTTTCTTTTCTGTGGTTTAATGATTATTTAAAATTAGGATTAGTTCACGTGAATTTAGTGGAACCAGCTTTCCATTTCCTACTTTACATTTACGGATCTTATTTATCTTCAAACTTCAGCTCTGAGAGTAGTGCTTGGCACATGCTAAGTAAGACTGCAATCAATTGAGATTTAATTAATTAACTGATGTTTTATTTTATACAATAAAGTACTATTTTTCATTATCTTTCGGTCACACAATTGATATTTTTCGAAGTTTAACACCGTTTTTTTTAAAAGAACTTATTTTTTTAGAGCTATTTAAAGTTCACAGTAAGATTGGCAATAAGGTACAGAGATTTCCCCTGTGTTCCCCTACCCGCACTCATGCATAGCCTCCCCCATTATCAACATCCCCTACCAGTATGATACATAAGTTACAGCTGATGAACCTACATCGACATGTTATTGTCATCCAACACCTGTATTTTTAACTAATGGGTTAAGAAAAATGTTCTCAAAGATGAAACTTATTTTACTGGTAACTGTTAAAAAAATATTATTTTAGAGCGAGAGAGAGAGAGAGAGAGCACACACTGGGGAGGGACAGAGGCAGAGGGGGAGGGAAGAGAATCTCAAGCAGACTCTGTGCTGAGTGTAAGCCCAATATCGGGCTTGATCCCACAATGCTGAGATCATGACCTGAGCTGAAATCAAGAGTTGGGTGCTCAACCAACTGAGCCACCCAGGTGCTCCTCATTTTCTTGGTAACTCTTAAATCTGAACATTTCTTTCTCTTTCTCATTTAACCACCTTTCCATTTAACCATCTATCAAACTGTCATGAAACCCATGCTTTTCAAATGGGCACACAGAAAGTGAGCCCTTGCTCCTGCCCACAAGTTTCTTACAATCTAGTGGAAAATCAAACAACTAAATACTTATTGAATAAGCAAGTTAAGAAAAATTTTCTCTAATAAATATATGAAGATCTCTGACATTTTTAATTTTTTTTCCCCCCTTGTAAGTCCCCGTAGGTATGAATTAGTGAACACAGGATTTTTCAGTACGTGATATCTGATCTATTATGTAACTATATGAATAACTTGGAGAAAACTCAAAAGGGTTATGATGGCAAATTTTCCTGTCAAAAACGACAAATTTTTTAAAGGAGATATTTGTATTAATATACAATTTAAGAAGAGGCAACTTGAAGCCAGAAATGAACTTTGGATTTCATCTCTATGATATAGTGTAAGCTAAAATAATAACTTACTTAAAATTAATTATGTTGGAAACAAGCAAGTTAATTTTTATGAGCTTGGATTCTGTGTGACAACTTCAAATTTATTTTGGTGACAAGTCAGATATGATGAAGGGTATACACATACACACACATATAACCCAACTAATTAAAAAAAATTATGTTTTTTTTCTTGCCATCACATTCTAGTGCTTTTGTTTGAATAATAAGACAGGCTAGGGAAATTCAATGGTGAGGCCAAGGAAAAAATGATAAAAGGCCTAAATTAAAAACTATGAGTACAAAGTGCAACAAACAGGTAGAAGAAGAGAGAGGTCATTGTAAATTAGTTTTTATAGAAACCTTAGAATGATCATAGTGAGTTGACCCTTAGGCCATCCTGTCAGAAGTCAACACTGTATGAAAAATCACTGTGGAGAGGAATGGTTTTTCTTCTTGTCATCCTCCCGAAAAATGAAAGATGACTTTCAGACTTCTCAGTTTTCAGTAATTACCTATATGGTGTTTTTCTCAGCATTAATTTATCTAAATCATTTTGGAATGTTTTCAGTCTATATTACTCTACTTTTTAGTGAAAAAAGAACTCTATCTATGGTTTTACTATTTGCTTTATGAAGGAGGACTTAATCTTATTTGTCCTAGGCTTATTATTCCTAATCTTTTGATGATTATGGTATTACTTTATAGTGTAAGAATTTGCAGGCATTTTTCAAGTGGCAAAGAAAATAGAGTATAACAATGGGATATAATTAATCTTAAAATAAATACTTCTGACTCCCATCTTTTACATGTTTAATACTGATACTTCATTATTATTAACTTACTGCCTTAGATAGTGCATTTTAGAGCCTACCCTCACGAGGACAAGGTCCCACTGTGATGAATTTTAGAAAGACTGAAAGGAACATAATAAGTGTTCTGATATTACAAATGTCTCTCTCTTTTTAAAATATTTATTTATTTATTTTAGAGAGAGGGAGAAAGAAAGAGCACGAGTGGAAGGGGTAGAAGGAGAGAGAGAGAATTTCAAGCAGATTCTCCATTCAGCCCAGAGCCCCAGGTAGGGGTTGATCTTATTACCTTGAGATTGCACCCTAAGCCAAAACCTAAGCTTAACTGACTCTGCCACCCAGGTTCTCCCATAAGTCTCTTGAAGGTGAATTTTAGATTCCTAAAAATAATGATGGTATTCCTGGAGATGAAATTACTACCACTTTAAAACACAAATCGAAGGAGTTCCTCCAGTTGCTGATTATTTTGATAATAGTATTGAGTATAAAGGTTGCCAGTATTCATCTTTAAAAGTAAGGTTACAGTAATAGTCATGGAAGTATGAGGGGAGGGAAGGGTCTACAGAATATAGCCCATTTGCAAGAAGGCATAGATATTGACAAGCAGTTAATTCTTAGTAGTTGGAAATCTGCTTTCTACTGGAAACCAACTATGTATTCAACAAATCTACAAATATTGGGTTTAAGCCAGGAAACCATTCTTCCCATTTTACACATGGGAAAAGGTAGGCTGAGGAAGCTGATGACTTGTTCAGCATCGGAGCTGGGATGTGATTGCAGTCCTGTCTGACCTTTTTGCCTTTCTTCATGCTACACAGATTTTCAAAACACTTCACTGGCCCATCTCTGGTAGTTAGGCTACTGGTTACTATTACTCATCATCAGTGCTGCCCAACAGAAATGTAATATGAGTCATGCAATTCAAATTTTTTCTGTAGCCCGTTAAAAACGTTAAAACTCCAATGGCATGACGTGTAATAATGTATTTTATTTAAAATAGTCTATCTAAACTATTGTATTGGATTGAAGTATTCAACATGTAGTCAATATTTTTAAAAATATCAATGAGGTATTTTAGGCTGTTGTCTAAATGTATTTTATACTTGTGCACATCATAATTCAGTCTCCAGATTTTCATCAGAAGTACTTGACTCGTGTCTAGATTTCATAAAATTTTACATATAAAAAAGTGAATTCACATACCTAAGCTGTTCCAAACAGATTTAAAAAATTTTCTAATAACACAACTATTCGCTTTAAGTTTTAAATTAAAAAAGTACTAAACCTAAAAATTCAGTTTCTTGGTGGGCCTAGCCACATTTCAAATGCCTAATAGCTGTGTGTGACTAGTGGTCACCATTTTGGACAGTGTAAGCATAGACTGTGGGAGAAGATATTCCTACTCCCATGGTCATACACACTTAACCATTTTGTTTTACAGCAAACAGCTGGCCACCAACTAGCCCAATAAAAAAACATAGGGATATTGGTAGTGTTCTTGCTCTCCCTCTCCAAAACAGGAGTTGATATCGGATGGGAAGTCATGGGCTCTTGTTATTTGTGTGTAACCTTAAGAATATCTCTGACTTCTCCCTAATCATCTGAGCTTTTTGGTGGTGGGGACCTTTGAGAGTGAAGGTAAAATTATTTAATGCTCAGAACTAGTGGATTTATTTTTTCAAATCTATATTTATTTATATTTATGGGATGCTATTGGATTGTTCTCGGTCCAGGATTAATGGTTTAAAAAAATCATGTAAAAACTGACTGAGAAAAGAAGATCTTAACTGATGGAAGATAAAGTAACGTTGAGGTTAATGTGTCTTCGTAGGAGTTTTCATCAGGACTGTTCTCTCCCAGACTGGTCTGACCCAGACCTGGAGGCAGCCTGGTCACGGCTGGTTTATGCCTGAGTTAATGTGCTAATCAGACTGTGCACTTCCTAGGAGATGTTTAATTATGACATGCTGTGAGTTTTGGAATCTTAAAATTAAGCTAAGAAGAAGAAAAGAAGTTCTTTTGAGGGCAGCCAAAACAAACACATGTACACATAAACTAACCAAGCAATAACCTCCTCCACCTTCCCATAACAAAATTTTAAATAAAGGAGTACTTTGATTTTTTAAGATAAAATCTATTTTTGATTTATTTGTTTTCAAG